TCAGCAGAACAGGTAAGAAGGTACAAACACTTATTCTTGATTATGTATGGTTTTCCCAAAAGTCCAGTCTTCTTGTGAAAGCAGTGAGTGGAGTCAGGAGATTTTTGCTCATCAGTTTCATTGTAAGGCTTGCAGCTAGATGAAAGAAGAAACTGTGGGATCCACAAGATCAGCAGAAGCCGAAAATTCTGGGCGATATCTTCATAACATTGTTGCATTGAACGTTCCTCTTCTAAAATGGTTGAGGGGTTTTCATTCAAAGCTTCTGCAAAAGCTTAACTTCTGATTAAAGTACAAGAAATATAGAGAATTTACATTCAAAAAGCTTAGTAGCAACTTACCATTGCAAAAATTAATTTCTAGGGTAAGCATTGCTAGGGTAAGGTGTCTGTCATTTTTTTAAAAGCTATAGAAAAAAATAGCCTTCTTAAAAAGAACAGATTAAAATTTGTGTCAGATATTCAATCGTCTTCCTAAAGACAGCTGATAAAAATATATATGATGAATTACTTTTTCAGATGTCTCACTCCAGGTTGCTTAAACTCAAGTGATCTTTCATATTCTTTAATAAGCATTGCTCTCAATAAGATATATTCCAAAGCCAACACTCTCCCAGGAGTTAGATGACTAGCCAACATTTTGCTTTACCATCAGACACCAAAATGGCTTTCTTAGGACATTAAACAGAACTATTATTTCCTTCTCTTTGCAGCAGGAGAGGTGGATATTCATTTCAGCTACATTTCCAAAGGTGTAGGTGTTCTCATCAGTTATATAGATATATAAATGTAGAAATATTACTCTTATATTTATTACTTAAATTGATTTTTTTTTATACTTGCTCACTTTGTTTAGGACAATTTCTATAACAAACATGCCATTCTGAAACAAAAATTAGAGCTATTTCCAGAACTTCCAAGCAAAACTTGTATTTAATAAATTTCAAAGCAAAGTGTTTTCATCATTTTTTTTAGCTGAAATTATTCTCTCAGTACGGCCTGGATATGATTTTATTCCACCAAATTTCTTCTTCCACCACAGATTTCTATGCAACTGGGAGCTCTAGCAATAGGAATGACAATAGGGAAATTCTTTCCTGGTCATCAGCTTCATTAATATACTGCATTTATTGCAGTCTATGAAGTGCTCTTTTCATGGCGATCTTCACCTCCCTGTTCCTCAGGCTGTAGATGAAGGGGTTCAGCATGGGAGTCATGACTGTGTAAAACAGTGTGGTTACTTTGTCCTCGGCCAGTGTGTTTGTGGAGCTGGGGCGCAGGTACATGAACAGAATTGCCCCATAAAACATGGTGACAACCGATAGGTGTGGGGCACAGGTGGAGAAGGCTTTTCTCCTGCCTTCTGGAGAGCAGATCCTCAGGATGGTGGGAAGGATATAAATGTAAGAGAAGAAGATGATAGTCATTGTGCTGAGACAGTTTGTGCTGACAAGAGCAAAGACAACGACCTCATAGATGTGGGTGTCAGAGCAGGAAAGAGCTAAGAAAGAGAGGATGTCACAGAAATAATGGTTGATGATGTTGGCTCTGCAGAAGGAAAATGCAAGGATGAAAGTGGCGTGTGTCACTGCGTGCAAAACACTGACTGCGTAGGAACCAGCTACGAGCCATCCGCACGTCCTCCGGCACATGATGACAGGGTACAGGAGGGGCTTGCAGATGGCCACGTACCTGTCGTATGCCATGACAGCCAGCAAAAGGCACTCAGTGATGCCAAAGACAACAAAGAAGCACAGCTGGGCTACACACCTTGAGAAACCAATGGTTTTCTCCTCTTCCAAGATGTGTACCAGCATCTGGGGGATGATGACAGAGGAATAGCAAATGTCAACGAAAGCCAAATGGCTGAGGAAATAGTACATGGGAGTGTGAAGATGAAGATCCATCCTGATTAATATGATTAGCCCAAAGTTTCCCACCAATGTGACAGTATACATCGCCAGGAAAATAAAGAATAGAGGGACCTGCAGATGCGGGCAGTCTGTCAGCCCTGAGAGAATGAACTCTGTCACTTTGGTGTCATTTGCAGGGATCATTTTCAGTAACGCATTCAACCTGCAATGGATAGATAAAATGACAAAAAGCAGCAGGGTTAGAAAAAGGGTGAGAGAAAATGAGCTTTACAATCCTGTAGCTTCAGTCATCTGATTTTGGCACTTCAGGAATCAGCTTAATCAGGTCATAAAATGTCATTTAGACTCTTGAGTCATTCTTGGAAGGCCTCTGTTCCTCATATGAAACTAAAGCCAGAACCTAGCTGTCAAACTAAGCAGTGAGAATACCCACATGGGTTTAATTCAGCATTTCATCTCTTATATAGCTTTCTGTCTGGGCATTCCTAGCAACATTTAGCACACGCAGAAAATCAATGCAATATATAAAAGAATACATGTGAGGAGCAGAGCAGGACAGACAGAAAATCATACAATCTATGCTGCGCATGTTGTGCACAACAAATTAGCAACAAATTAGCTTAAAGTGGCTCCTGTTGCCTTAGCCACCACGATCAGCCCTTGCCATTGCAATGGCAGCTGTGAAAAGAATGAACACCTACAAATCTCCCCACTTGGTGTCATCTGTAATTCCAAGCAACAAAGTACTCTCTGTGTTAGATTCCTTCTGTCGTCCCCCAGCTTCATTGCTATAAATGCGATACCTTAAGCCTCTGGCCCTTTCTTTCAGATTTCTTAATACTTTCAAGTTCATAAAATAAAATAAAATAAAATAAAATAAAATAAAATGAAATGAAGGATACACTTAGCTGCATGATGCCCTTTCATGTCCTATTCATTCAGATCGAGACAGCTGAGGACTGACTAGAATACAAAGTTCCTTCTCATCTTGGATGCAATTTCTGTAAAACTCAGACATTCAGGATCTGCAGCCAGCACAGAGAGGTCAGTGTAGCACTTTCAGGAACTGGAAAGGATTTGGCTGTTCCTCCAGATCGTAGCTTCACAGCTAAAATTCACCTTCAAACAAACATCAGAGGTGTTTTTTAGTACTTGTTTCTTCAACAAAATGCTGAGAACAGTTTGTTCCTGTAGCTGTCAGCTGTGCAGACAAGACCTCTCTGCAGTTTTTAGTATTCACACTGTGTTTATATTAGTTTGTGTGACCTTGGAGATATCCCACTCCATGGAGAATAGAAGTTTTAAAACAAACAAAATCCACTGGGGTAAAAATTTCTTAATCTATAGCCTCATTAATATGTCCCAAGAACAACTTGTTATGAACGTCTGGATTTAAGTAGATATCCACTCCCATCTCCAATACTGGGGAGGGAGAGTAGACAAAATATGGGCATTTGCATCAATACTTATTGTAATTAAATGATTCACCGAAAGCAAACCCAACTTTTTTTTCCATAGTGATCCCTATTATTATCTAACTTTCTTGAGTTATCTTTAGTGCCACAAGCAAGCTAGCTTTTTAGCAGTGCAATAGTATTTCTTTCAGCATCACCTCCCTCTACTCAATACTCGCAGAAGACAGCGTGATGAAATAGGTAGAACTCTGAGCCCAGTGCACCTAGGATAAAATTCAAAGTCAAAAGACTCCTGTCCATCTTGGGTGCTCCTGAGAAAAGTAACAGTGAGGCTGTTGTGATCATGCTGGCCCAAGGATACAAGCAAAGCTTGGAGTCTGGTTCTCCTGTAACACTTCCAGCAACTCAGCGCAGTCTGCTCATCTGGGGCTCTTATTCAAATGTGAACTAATGCTAATTCTTTGCTTGTATAATATGTCTGCATCAGCCCTGCTGGAGAAAATGGCCAATATCTGATCACTAATTCCAGATCTCAGTGAGATTCAAAGCAGTGATCCCCATTAATAAGTAGGCAGCTCTCTAGACTGCTTTTACACTCAGCTGAGAACAAGAGTAAATTCTGGAACGAATTTATAAAATCAATTTTAAATAATTTTTAGGCTGAGGAGTATCATTTTAAAGTGTCCATTCTCCACCAGCAATGATCAAGGGCATCCAGACAGCTAACTCAGAGGTAGTGCTCCATTGCACACATCTAAGATGAGCTGGATGAATCCTGCATTCACACCTTTTCTGGCAGACATCTTTTAGGAGAAAATATTATTTTATTTATTTAAATTTATGTTATGTTTATATTTATGTTATTTATTTATGTTATTTTATTTATTCGTTTTTTTCTGATCGTTATGAACGCTCATATTCACTGGCTTAAATTTTCCCATCCTCCTCTCAGCATTTATCTTTGCTATCCATGGAGCCATCCATGGTAAGGAGCAAGGATGCAGGACATCTGGGTTCTCCCAAAAGAATTTTGCTGTTTCATTGCAGAAAGGTTAATTCTCTCCAATATGCCTCATATGCACAGGATAAAAATAACATTTTCTTTTTTCTCACATATTCAGTAAAATAGATACAACTGAATTGTGGCAAATCATTAATGATCTTTATTATTGGTGCCTGAGATTATATTTCAGCCTCATCTCTAACACTATTTTTTATCTGCTACTAAAATCCAGGTTTTAATGCCATTCTGCAAAGAAACTTGGCGCTGCCAATGCTTGTTAAGAAAGCTCTGCTTGTGTCAACAATATATATTTACCCAGGCAATGTAGGCACATCTCCAACTAATTTCTGGAACCAAGTCTTTCATAGACAAGAATTTGGCTGGTCAAACATCTGTGGGTATGTGCAGCAAAATTATACTCATAGAAAATGTATTTCTAATTAAAAATGAACCACATAGTATCTCTGGAGAATGATACAGATTCAAATGGGTGCTCAGAAAAGGTCAAAAAATGAAAAACCTGCCATGATTAGGTATTTTAGTAAAGAAACTTAAGTAACCTAATAAAATATGAGATCTTTCCCTGTCTAGTCCTTAAATTCTGCTTCTTCACATTCCCCTGTTTCCTTGTTTGTTTATTTATTTATTTATTATCCCCCTGGTGATCTAGAGAAGATTCACACCGGATTAACAATTTTGGCTAATTAATATAAGACTTTTTTTCAAGTTTAAATATACCCTGCATATCATGTGCTGACATCAACATGTGTCTCAGAAGAAAAACATATCCCAAAGGAATTCATAGTTTATATATATATTCACATACATGTTTATGTTTGTATAAGCAACAGGAAAATAGCAGACTTGCAAAACAGAGAACCAGAAAAGCTGTTGAAAAGGTAAGGTAAACCATTGCAGTTGTGATTTTTTTTTATTATTGTTATTTTAATATTCACATGCTTTTGGAAGGAGATAGAACTTGGTCTTGTATATAAGCATGAATGTTAGACATTCAAATGATACTGATTTTCTTCTTCCTGTAGTGCTGAAGACACCAATTTCCTATACCTAGATCTTCTTCTACCTGTCTTCAGTCCTCTGACTGCCCATCTCTAATTCTCATTGAAGGTGGATTGTTTTCAATTCTTAATCAGTTTATTGATGGCTCTTTAAACCCTGATTTCTTTCTTTTTTCTTTTTTTAAATTTATATTAGGATCTCCTATTCATGCATTTCAAAACTCAACACAAAGACGTTTGAATATTATTTTAAATGCCCTATGCATAAGTTTGATAGATTAGATATGTAGGGAACTGTAGAGATCTTCTTGTGACCCTTGGTTTTACAATTTTTTTTTCCTGGGCTACCATGTGATAATACATCACCATCAAGTTCAACTCAGCAATTTCTGAAGATGAACGAATTTCCATGAGATGTACCCAGCCCAACAGTGGATATTAGGTGCCACTCTTAGCTCCTTCCACTAATACAAGTAGTGGACATCTGACAGTGCTGGATATCCACTGGTTTGAAACAGGTATTGTTTATAGAATGCAAAAGTCAATGATAAATCCATCTGAAAAATTGTCTGGATAAGTTCAGTAGAAGCCCAAATTCTGTCGTGATATTATAATGCAAGAAAAAACGGTTTAATGAACTTTTTCACTGCCTATTAAAATCCTGGCACCATTTTTTTTTTTTTTTTTTTTTGTAGCTGTCATTCTGGTACTCACGAAAGTGCTTTCTTCATATCATTTAAAAAAATGATCTGAAATAGCATCTACCTGCTGGAATATTATGTTACTCCTTTGTTTATGTAGCAACTGCATTCCTTCTGTATCACGTAGTTTTCATTTCCAATGTCCTAAAGATGACTTCTTGATCTCATATACACAGCTCAACATATGTGAAATTGACTTTGAAAGATCTTTGAATTAACTGAGACTGTAGAATATTTGCAGATATTGGCAGAGAAATTTCTTTGATCTTAAGAATCAGTTTAAGAAATTTCTGTTTGCCATCAACAGCCTTATGTCTAAGGAGTGCTTTCTGGTTTTTTATCCAGAACTTTTTTTAAAGATAGATAAATGGCAGATAGGAATCACAGCAGAGTGACAGAATTCGTTTTCATTGGCTTCACCGATCATCCAGATCTTCAGATTCCTCTCTTTATGGTGTTCCTGCTAATCTACATTGTCACGCTGCTGGGGAATTTTGGGATAATCCTGCTCATCAGGATCGACTCCAAGCTCCATACTCCAATGTATTTCTTCCTCAGCCACTTGGCCTTTGTAGACCTTTGTTATTCTTCAACCATCACACCCAAAATGCTGGCAAACTTCTTGTCCGAGAGAATAACAATTTCTTACCATGCCTGTGCTGCACAGCTGTGCTTTTTTCTTACATTCATGATCACAGAGTGTTTCCTTCTTGCTGGGATGGCATACGATCGCTCTGTGGCCATCTGTAACCCTCTCAACTACACGGTCATCATGTCCCAGCGTGTCTGTATCCAACTGGTGGCTGGCCCTTACCTGTACGGTTTCTGTGTTGCCTTGTTCCACACCATAGTTACATTTCGCTTGAATTTCTGTGCTTCTAATATGATCAACCATTTCTACTGCGATGACCTCCCCTTGTTAGCACTCTCCTGTTCTAGTACCTACACCAAAGAAATGTTAATATTTGCCTTTGCTAGCTTTACTATGATCTCCTCTCTTCTGATAGTGCTTGTCTCCTACCTGCGCATCTTGGCCATCATTTTGAAGATCTGCTCTGCTCAGGGCAGGCAGAAAGCTTTCAGCACCTGTGTCTCCCACCTGACAGCGGTCACCATCTTCTACGGGACCCTGATTTTCATGTATTTACAGCCCAGCTCTAAACACTCACTGGACAGAGACAAGGTGGCCTCACTGTTCTACACAGTGGTGATCCCCATGCTGAACCCTCTCATCTACAGCCTGAGGAACAAAGAGGTGAAGGCAGCCCTATGGAAAATCATATATAAAATATACAACTGCTTTAAATAACATTTTAAATAATGTTTAGAAAAGGAACTGTCCGCCCCACTTTTTCTTTCCTTTTTTTTCCTTTTTTTTTTTTTTTTTGCTTTCGACTATTCTCATTGGCACCTCCTCCTAGACTAACTGTAACTTTCATAGTATTAAAAGGGCTTTTCAACTATTTTATGCTTTTTTTTCCATTAGTGAAAAGCAGCAAGAACAAATTGTCCAGTTAGTGAGAACCAGCAAAAGCTTATTAATGGTGCATGTCATGAAAACAGGGATGCCTTTGTTCTTTAGTGAGATTGAATGAGCAGGCTTGTACCAGCACGAACAGTGGTAACAGTTGTAGCTAGACCCATAGAAAGCCCTTCATCTGGCCTGGATGCAAGGCTCTCATCGCAAAGCTCTCATCATATACGAGGTTAAATCTATCGCCATCACAAGTGAGACTACTCTCCCTCCCAGAGAAAGAAATGCACTTTGGGGACCAGCCATCCTTCCAGTAGGCATCTGCTTAACAAGTCTTTCTGGGATTCAAGAGGAAGTTATCATAATAATCCCAAAGCCTTCTCAGTGAGCTTGTAGTCAACTTATTCTTCTTAACAAGCCACAAGAGATTAATTAGCAGAAACTAACAAGAAACTTTCTTCTTTTTGAATGTCAATGAACACTTCTAAAGTGCGTTTTTGCATGGCTAGGCCCTGCAGTCAATGACTAGCGAGTCAAAGGGTTCAAACATATGAGTAATTTAAGGGACAGATTTTTAAGGACCCTTAGGCTCGCTCTTCCACATCTTTCTAGACCTTCACTCATACCACAGGTGCTGCTGCTCTGCTCATACAGAGGTTGTTGCAAGAGTCTGAAGGAAAACAAAAACATACATCTCTTACCACCAGCAGCAGCAATGAGGCAGTATGAGAGGACCCAAAGAAGAGCAGAGCAACTGGAGCCAGCCAAGAAATGAAAGCTGGATCCAGACCAGGGCAGCACCTGAGTGTGGGGTGATGCCTCAGCCATCACTGAAGAGGAATGTGTGGGAGATAAGATCACACACTGTTGTCTTGTTCTGTGTTACAAATTGCCATTCGCACATGGTATTCAAAAAACAATGCTACTAGCACTCCGTTTTTCTTTTATTTCCCTATACATTCTGCCTCAAGTCCCCTCCAGCATGCACCCACCCCGCCTTGCAGGAGAGTATGATTAATTATTATTGATTGTTATATAATTATTTCTTAGCTGATTTAAATATTATTTTGTTATTAATAATTGTGAATTATTACTATTATTAACCACTGGTTTCAAAAGTTGGAACTTTAAGAAAAAAACAGCATAATAATTATGTTATTCATAACATTGCAATGTTATGAATTGCAACCACAACAACAACAAAATAATAAGGAATTGTCCCAGGCAGCAAAAATGCTGCTTGCATTAAAAAATGCCTGGGTCAAGAGAAAAAAAAGTTGTGTGCAGAATGGGATTCATTGGTGGCAAATCATTTAAAATTTGCTCTTGAAAATCCAGCTCAATTATATTTAAGGGTAAGCCATAGAGCTCACCCATTAGAAATAGGCAGGATATTAACAGAAATGCACAGCAATATGTTACTTCTATTTTTATTTTAAAACAAAGATTGATTCACTGACACTTATAAGTGTTGAGTTATACACAAATAAGTTATCTGGGCTTCCTTCCATCTGGGCAGATGAAAGAAACTGTCTTTCCTTTATTGTAACCCCATCTGGAAACACTTTCTGGAGGTCATTTTTTTTCCTCTTCATATTCTATACAGGAAGTCAAAGCTATTTTTGTACACCTAATTAAAATTAGATTATGTTAATCCCATTCATTGTGCCTTCCGGAAGACCTGTTTTAAAGGTAAATCCATTTTTTGTACTCCACTTATTTTTAGACACTGCTTTTAGAAAAAAATATATAATAATGTTCCCCCAAAGGGGGGAAGGTGCAGGCTGTCCTTCACCCTCATGTTCCTCAGGCTGTAAATGAGGAGATTCAGCAGGCAGCTCACCGGCATGTAAAAAATGAAGACCACCTTCTCCTGATCCAGCAAGTGTTTTGAACTAGGCCATGAAAAAAAAAAAGTAAATAGCATTCCCATAGACGACAGTGAAGCACAAATGGTAAAGACTTGATATCTGTCCTGCTTAGAGTGAATTTTCAGGATAGTTATCAGTGTGTAAGCATAGGATATGTGGATTATCAGCCGCATGGTGATCATATGGAATCCAAAACCACAAAGATGACTACGGGATTGACACTGGTATCAGCAGGAGAGCTTTAGTATTGGAGGACCTTCACACTAGAAATGATCAATGGCTTTGAGACTGCAAAAAAAAAAAAGACAGCCGAAAGGTTTTGGCAGTAGCGGGAATTGACAGTCACAACCAAATATGAGGCAGGTATGGGCAGAATAGGGACCCTCTGGGACGTGGCAACTTCAGCAGGCTACAGATGGCTGCAAAGCCGTCAGATGCCATCACAGCCAGGAGGTGGCACTTGGCCATCCATAAATTAGGCATCATCTTGGAACAGTCGTAGTGGCAAAGACTGCATACAAATAATACCGGGCATCACATCCAACAGAAGAAACAACCTTTCTCTCTGGCAAGAAATCTGACAGCATTTTGGGGGCAGCATAAGAGGAATAGCAGATATGTAAGAAGGGGAGGTTGCTCAGGAAAAAGCACATGGAGGATGTGAAGTCTGGGACTGGTTTTTGACGGGATTTTCCCAGCAAGGGGAACTGATGAGGACCTGAAAATCTGGGCAGTCTTTCAGTGCCATTAAAATTAATTCAGTGATCAGGTTATCATTTCTGTGAATGGGGAATTAGCTCAAGTGGTAGAGCGCTCGCTTCGCATGCGAGAGGTAGCAGGATCGATGCCTGCATTCTCCAGGGTACTTTCCATGAGCCAGCAATGTGGCCAAGAAGGTGAATATTATCCTGGGCTGCATTACGAAGAGTGTCACCAGGAGGTGATTTCTTTTGTGTGTGATTAGGAATGGATATAAGAAACTGAGAAATAAAAACGCAGAGAAGGTTGTTGATGAGAAACACTTTTCTGAGAAACTTGAACGGGATTCCTGTCTTCCAGCCAGCCATCCAAAAGCTGGGTAACTAAGTTCCTTTTACAGCTAACCCATAAAGAAAGGCAACACTGGAAGCTCAGTCATCCCATCAAACATGAGGAGGGAATAAGTCTCTCTTCATAATTAAAATCTTCTGTAACAATTTGGAGTAGAACGTCCCTGAATTTACCTGACTTTGTGATCAAAGGCACCTTTTGCTTTTCTGAGACACAAGGACAATGTGTACAATGGCTGAAGTACAAACTTTAATCAAACAATTCACAGAAAAAAAAAATTCTCTCTTGGCTGCACATGAAGTCTGTGCAGAGCCAGGGAAGCTATTCTTTTCTGAAGAACTTACCGATTTCCATTGAACAAGAAGAAGAGTCTCCAGGACCTGTATGCAAAAAACCCAGGCTTGTTCCTTTTGCCTTTCAAAATACCTGTGTGGGCAAATGCCTAGCAGAAACCCACAGAAAGGTATTTCAGTGACCTTGAGGTGAATAGAGTCAGGGAAGAAAGGATGAGGAAAAGAAAAAGCAAATATTCGAGCAGCTTTTCTATTTATAGAATTTTTCTCTAGCTTGTAATAATATCTCAGCAAATATTACGCAGACCGATTCACAAGAAGTGATTATCAGTGACTGGGACTGATGAGGCTGTAGTCTCAATCCTGACTGCTTAATAAGTCATGTCACAACTTGTTCTAAGCAGGCACGGTTTTCCATCCTGGTGGATGTTTTTCTTGCACTAAGCAATACATCAAAATGTTCATGGTTCCAAAAACAAGCGCATATCTCATCTGCTCCATCTGCTTAAACTGTGAATTATTGTGCAGGCCCATTTGAACCATCCTGACAGGACTATGGCCATAGCCATACTCCAGGTCTGAGGATGAGGGATGCCAGCTGAGTCATTCTTGGATTATTAGTATTTATGGTAACTTAGTGGTTGGAAATACCACATCACGTTTTAGAGTTACAAAAGACAACAGAAAAAGCAGGAAGAAACTCAGAACATGAGCTGAGACACCTGCCTTAGAGGTAAGGTATCTACATTTAAGCATCTAAGGAGCTTTCCAACTAAGAAAAAAAGGAAGTTGCTTGTCCCCTGGAGTAAGGGATTTCTGGAGGGAGGGGAAGACCTTCCTGGCCAAAGGTATCTACATAGTCACAATTTATATACATAAAATTGCATTATGCATCTGTAAATGTACATACTGTAATTTATATCTACAGATTTTAAAACTAGGTAAGATGAACCAAGAATCAAAATGGCAACCCATAAAAACCCTAAATAAATATGAATGATGGATGATTTCCAGGGGGGATGGATTTCCCTGCCTCTGGGTAATTTGGGGTCAGGCGCTGCACGGGAAGGTTGCATTGTCCAGGTCGCCAGCAGGAGTGGCCGCTGCCCTGTGGGAACCAGAAGATGTATAAGAGGGATGTGGAGCTGCTGGAGAGAGTCCAGCGCAGGGCCACAAGGATGATCAGGGGCCTGGAACATCTGCCCTATGAGGAGAGGCTGAGGGAGCTGGGCCTGTTCAGCTGGAGAAGAGAAGGCTGAGAGGGGACCTGAGCAGTGTCTATAAGTACCTCAAGGGAGTGAGTGAGGAGGATTGTGCTGCCTCTTTTCACTGGTGGCCACTGATAGAACTAAAGGAAACGGCCAGAAACTGAAGCATCAAAAGTTCTACAGGAACTTAAGGAAAAATTTCTTAACAGTGAGGGTGCCAGAGCCCTGGAACAGGCTGCCCAGAGAGGTTGTGGAGTCTCCTTCTCTGGAGATCTTCAAAACCCACTTGGACGCAGTCCTGTGCCACGTGCTCTAGGTGACCCTGCGTGTGCAGGGGTTGGACTAGATGATCTCTAGAGGTCCCTTCCAACCTTAAGCATTCTGTAATTCTATGATTTTATGAATTAATGTGTGTGTGCGTGCATATATTTATATGCATTCATTTATGTATATTCCAGTCTATAGAAGGAGGTAAGCATTTCAGAAGGCAAGGAATGTCTCATGAGTTCAATCTCTCTCATGTGACTTTTTTTCCCCACTGATTTGAAAGAGAACCTAGGAGGCATTTTACTTAGATGGGGCAAATCTAGGGCTAAGCAACTTACCTCGTGTCATTTAAGGAATCTGTGACACTTCTGGGAACTGAAACATGATCTTCTGGTTAGATTATCAAGTTTCATGGTGACTGAGCTGTAAACACTTGGATGTGTTCACCAGTAATCTGCCCATTTCTTGATATGAAAGGAGCTTTGATAGTCATTTTCACACTGACAGCAATAGCTGTTACTCACTGCCATTACCCAAGCTAACAGTGCTAATGTATTCTCAAACCGCAAGTGTTCAAACGAGCTAAATTCCTGAAATTAATAATAGAAGATGGTAAACACAAAGGCAAGAATGACAAATGCATATCTTACAGAGATAGGTCAACAAACAATTTAATCCAAGAGCGGATAATGACCCATTGTACCAAATGAACAATGCAGAAACTTCTTTATACACATGTCCAGCGTCCACCACTACTTCATAGAAGAGTGCTATTTCTTTTCATATCACAGTACTGCTGATATAAAAGAGCACAAATTTTTTAAAGAGACCTCTCTATTCTTCTGAAGCATCAGGGAATAATTATCTTTCAGATGAATGTTTCCTATCCATCACTTTCCCAAGGGCATCCTTCACCTCCTTGTTCCTCAGGCTGTAGATGAGGGGGTTCAGCATGGGGGTCACCATGGTGTAAAACACAGAGGCCACTTTGTCGAGGTGCTGGGAATGCCTGGAGCTAGGCCGTGAGTACATAGATGCAGCAGATCCATAGAAGAGGGCCACAGCTGTCAGGTGGGACGCACATGTGGAGAAGGTTTTGTACCTGCCCTCAGCCGAGCGCATTCTCAGGATGGTGGCCAGGATGTAAGCGTAGGAGAGAAGAATGATCAGGTTGGTTAGCAACAAATTGAAGCCAACCACAACAAACATCATAATCTCATTGATGGTTGGATCAGTGCAAGAAATGGCATAGAGTGGAGGCCCATCACAATAAAAATGATTGATGACATTGGGACCACAGAAGGACAGTCGAAATGCAAACCCGGTATGGATGGTGGCATTCACAATCCCAGCAACGTATGAGACGCCTATCAGCAGAACACAGACTCTGCTGGACATGGAGACTGCATAGAGCAATGGGCTGCAGATGGCCATATAGCGATCATATGCCATAACAGCCAGAAGGTAACATTCAGTGGTGGCAAAGGTAGCGTAGAAATAAAATTGTGTAAGGCATGCAGAGTAAGAAATCACTTTCCTCTTTGCTACAAGATCTTTGAGCAATCTGGGTGTGATTGAGGAAGAATAGCAGATGTCTAAGAAGGATAAGCTGCTTAGGAAGAAGTACATGGGGGTGTGAAGCCGGGGATCTATGAGGATTAACAAAATCATCCCCAGATTCCCTAACACAGTGATCACATAGACGACTGAAAATACCATAAAGAGGATGGCCTGGGTATTCAGATGCTCCGAGAATCCAGAGAGAACAAATTCAGCAATGAGGGTCTGATTTCCTTTGTCCGTCATCATAGCACAGTTACTAAATGAAAGCAGAGATATAAACACAAAGTCAGCATATTTCTCCCCCGATATAAATCATATAAATTATAGATAAATAAAAGTATTTTTTATTAGGAAGCACAAAGCTCAGAGGCAGGAACTGCAGAACAACATATTGCAGGTTTGTCTCAAAACACATTTCAGGGAAAATAATGTGCATGATGGAGTGTATTTCTAAAAGAAATATTCTTTTCCTGTCACGTCTAATTTGGTTTTATAATGTTACCTCCCAATAATAAGATTGTTCTTTTTCCTGAAGAAGCTTTGAAGTTTGTTGGTTACCAAATTTGAAGAAACGACCATAGCAATTTCTTCTGGATTTAGAAAACTGTCTTCTGGATTGAGAAAACTGTCTGTATCTTTTTTTTTTTAAAAAAAAAAAAAAAGCATTTTTAAGAAAATACAAAGAGAGAGAGCACTGGTGAGAGTATTAAAATAATCAGATAAAATTCTGTCTGGCAGTGCCTTTGTACCTCTCTTGATTTCAAATAGAGTATAAACTAGCACCCACCTGAGACTTGGTTAAACATCTTTAAAATATCTGGCTTTAGCAAGACATATGTCAACCTTGGGTGACTATTTTATGTGTATAGAGGTGCCTATGTGCCTTTATAACAGACCAGCTCTTTATGGCTAGATTTAGGCTAAAATTGATAGGTGCTCCCCAACTCACCTGTTTGCTCACATTTCAGAGGTCCTTTCAACTTAGCAGAGACCCACAGCCAATCCTTGATGCCTCCCAGACAAAATCTGATGTGGAAAATAAGCCCCTTCTTTTTGAGTGTTTATGTTAAAAGCAAGAACGATTCGCTGAAGGACATCAATTCCTGACTGAGAAAATACTCCCTTTATACAATCCTTTTACGACAATACCAAGGGTTTTCCCAGTAACTGCCTGGTAGTTCTTCATACATAAATTTCTCCTGGGAGTTCTTGATTTTCTGAAATAGCTCCTTAAGGAGGAGACATGAGCTCATACTAAACAAACACAATTGTTTTCATCAAATAAGATGTAAACTGGGGTGTTTTTCCTATTTCTTTTTGTGTACATTTTATCTCTTGGAATACTAGAGGATTGAAAAGAATTGATTCAATAATAAAGATTCAGGAAATAGAGATTAGGAAATCTAAAATTTCCTAATCGTAAAGATTAGGAAATAGATTTAGGATTTGGAGAACTTTTGCACAGGGAGCAAAAACCATTTATGAACTTTTCTGCTACCGTTTGTTTTAGCATTAAATAATATATCCTGTTATTATAAAAGCTATAGAGTCTTGTATCCAGGTCTTCTGTGGGAGTCAAAGTCAGGTTCATGAGGAGAAAATTCTCTTTGATTGCTTTTAAAAAGGGGGAAAAAATGGCATTTGCATTAGATCTTCTAGGGAAAACGTCCATATAAAATGTGTGTCTTTCTTCAAGAAGCTAGTCTCTTACCTTAGTGACCTTTATATCACGGAAAAAAGCATTGCTCAGACACTGCCTTCATCCATTTTGCATTTCTATTCATTCCAGAAACTTTCTTGCATGCAAAACCCATCTGTGCACAGCTGAATTATAGATGATTATTTAACAGCTAGTTTCACATTCTTTTATTTGGTCGTTTTTGAAGGACTCCGAAATATCTAACAAACCCATTTCTTCCATGTCCCCAGTATTTCTGAGCTCCTGCTTTGGTGTTTTTTCCCTTCTGTTTTAATTCCCTTTCTCTTTCTTGAGATTGTCAGACTCGCTCCTACATTAATCCATGGTGGTGTGATGTATTTTGGGTCAGTTTGCCCCTACAGAGTGTTGGTGCAGCATCACCTGTGTGAACATGGCTTCTAGGACATACAGTAAGACACATGAAGGAGAATTACATGTCATCGCTTCATTACTTGCTACTACCCTAGAGATCCTTGTTTGGATCTACCGGAAGAAGCTTCCTCCAAAAACCATACCTGTAGTTCATCAGTCCTCCGCATAACTCTTGCAATTTGTTAATCAACATCCTCCTTCTGAAGCCACAGTCATGTCTCACATGTGCCAAACTTGAGCATACATCTGAAAACCATTTCCAGGTACATCTCTGCTCTCCTGTGTGTGCCAAAACATACAGTTCCTGATTTGTCATTTGGGATGTGCTACAGCTCCCAAAACACAGCCCAAAGGTGGGGTGACTTGTGTCATGCACCAGTATTGAACCCCATAGCAGTTCTCTGAAGTGCCCAAAATAGACTTGCATCTTGCAAGGAGAAGGCCCTGGGGTTAATACCCACCCCATATATTCTGACCCATTGACATGAAATATTAATTTTAAAGAGGACACATACACTTTCAGCATGATGAGATGAAACTTTCCCTTTTATTCTTAAATTAACTCTCTAGAATATGCCTTCAGTGCGATTGATCTTAAAAAAAAAAAAACATATTTGCCCTGCAGACCTGGCAGCTAATCACTCTTAGCTGCTGAGGAGCAAATGGAGAATAATACGCATTTTCCAGACCAATTCCCTCTCATCCTGAAGTAGATATTTAAAATAGATCAGATGAATCAAAAGCCCCAGATGCCTTGTTCTCACCATAACATGAACCAATGGTGACTTACTCAGACCTTACTGTATTAGAAGCACCTAAAAATAGTTAGCATGACTCCCAGACCACGATGACTAAGCCCCTCAGTGAACCTTGGAAGCAGAAATTATAAGTAAGCTGAAGTCCAGTTTGCTTCCTGGAAAATGAATTTTGCCAGCCCTGAGAGACATAAATAAGAGAAGTTGTGGTGGGGGAGTTCTGGTCAACGATGAGCATGCCAGGACCATCAGATGAGTGAGGCCTGCCTGGATACAGGGTCTGGCCAGAAGCATGAAGGTTTTCTGTGTTGTCAGCACCTGAGGAACAGCTGTGAAACGCTGGGATAACCCAGCCTGCTCAGGCAGGACCTTGCAACACCACTCACAGACCAAATTGAACAACCCATGGCCTCAGGGTATCAAAACCCTTCTTTCTCCTAGGCAAACTGACAGCATGGTGATTTACAGACTGGAGGTTGCCCATGATGGAGACGTGTCTGGGATGACATGATGTCCAGTGCTAGTGATTTGCATGCAGTGTATGAAGCACTGAGATAGGCTGTCGTACAGGAAAGACTACCATTACCCTTGGACAGAGAAACCAGAAGAAATAATAAATAAAGTTTATTATACTAACCTTAGATGGCTACATAGAAAATGCAGAAACAAAGTTATGGAAAGCATTGCCCCTCGCCAGCATATGTTCTTTATTTAACTTTTTCCATTCCCTTTTGCGCCACCTCTTTCAAGCCACAGAATTCAAATATTGCTGCAACACTGCATAAACCCTCCTGTATATGCAGTATCAACTGCATATATTCTAGTCCCGTTCATAAGTTTGTTTACTCCAGAATAGTTTTCTCTTTTTGCTTTCTTTTCTATTTTTCTATTTTGACAAATTCATAATTACAAGGAATTTATTTCTTAAAAGACTCCAACGTTGAATCTATTCATAATTCAGACTTTCTGCTGTGTTTAACAGAAGACAGCATACTATATCTCATCAATCATGTATGCAGAAAGGTAAAATGCGCTTGATAGGCCAGGTCAGGCTTACTCGTTCTCTTCCCTCAGCTGTGACAATTAATGCCAGTTTCAGGTTGGTTAGAGAAAGGCCTCAAGACACAAAACGCACTCAGAAACACACTCAAGACAGAAACTTCTTCATCACTCTTCTGAAGGCGTTCTTCACCTCCTTGTTCCTCAAACTGTAGATAAAAGGGTTTAACATGGGGGTCAGCACAGCGTAGAAGATGGATGCTGTTTTTCCTTGAACATCCAAGTGATTGGAAAGGGGATGTAGATATAAGAAAGCAGCAGAACCATAGAAGAGGGCCACAGCCACGAGGTGGGACGTGCAGGTGGAGAAGGCTTTATGCCTACCCTCCACAGAGCGGATATTCCAGATAGTGACCAGGATGCAAGTGTAAGAGACAAAGATGGCCAAGACTGAAGTTATTATGATGAAACCAATGCTCGTGACCATCACCTTCTCATTTACCCAGGTGTCAGAGCACGAGAGTAACAGGAGGGGAGGGATTTCACAAAAGAAATGATCAACAACATTTGGGCCACAGAAAGACAGTTGGAGGAGAGTGCAAGTGTGCACCAGGGCATTCAGAGTCCCAGCAATGTAAGAGCCCACTAGCAGGCGGACACAGACTTTAGGGGACATGACAATCAAATAGTGCAGAGGTTCACAGACGGCCGTATAGCGATCATAAGCCATGACAGCCAGGAGGATAGCTTCTGTAGTGCCAAATACTGCATAAAAGTAAAACTGTGCAATGCAGCCCCTAAAAGAGATTATATTCCTCTCAACAAGGAGGCCTGACAGCAGCTTAGGAGTTACAGACGAAGAGTAACAGATGTCCAGGAAAGACAGGTTGCTGAGGAAGAAATACATGGGGAGACGAAGCTGAGAGTCAGTCCTGATTAGTATGACCATGCCTAGATTCCCCACCAGAGTGGTGACATAGATCAGAAAAAAAATCACAAAGAGCAGTTGTGGCAGATTTGTGAAACCCAGGAGAACAAACTCCATCACTTCTGAATGGTTTCCCTTAGCCATTCTCCTGGTACCAGGGCAGAGGAGGAGGTAAAAAAACATGCAGAGATGGGGTGAACTATTTCTCCTAGCATTAGGGATCCATAGTGCTGGAGATAACATACAGTTTGGCATTTCCTGGATGACTAACCCACTTATTCTGGAGAAAATATGTGTTCGTTACCCTCAGGCATGCTGCAGAAAAAAGACAATAAAAAAGCAAACCTGGAAATCAAGTAAACAATATATTATACCATGACATCAGAATACATCATAACTGTAGAAAAATATCTTAAAGAGGCCTAGCTTTTACAGGCACATTACAGAAAAAAAAAAAAAGGTCTTGCAAAGATGCTGTCTTCCTTGAACAGTCCAAATTCCTCAGTTCTTTCCAATACATGTGACTGAGAGGGTTACTTTCTTTCGCTCTTTCTTTTTTTTCTCATTTTCCTTCCTTCCTCCCTTCCTCCCTTCCTCCCTTCCTCCCTTGCTTCTTTTATTTTTTTCCTTCAGAGGGGAGAATTTCTTATTTAAGGAAAAATAAATACAATAATGTTGGGTCCTAATGGGTCCTAATTTGCCACATTAAGTAGTGTGCTGCATTACATAGATATTGGGTAGATTTTCTGACGCGGTGGTGACATGTTTTCAATAAAATGCCTAGAAGGAAAGTTTATATGCTTATAGCCAAAAAAAAAAAATCCCACTATTCTGTTTTGGTTAATCTATTCCATGCATGTGGATACCTCTGATTAGTTCTTTTTACAAGAGTCACTGAGTAAGACTAAATCATTTGTGTTACCCTTGGCCACCTCTCTAGGTTCTCAGATATATTAAGTAGCAAGGAGGAAGAGATCTACGCACAGTTTTTCTTCTTGTGACTGTTCCATAACACGGCTTCAAGAGTTGAATATTTTCTCAGGAGTCATCCACTTCAGCCAGAATGCACTATAGGATTGGGAATCCTCACTTATTTCTTTTGTTTGTTTGCTTGCTTTTTCCTGGTATTCATCTGCTGGCTACACTCCTTACTGTTCACTGTCACTTCAATATGACCTCATATACTTTTCCTCCTCTGTGCTTCTTCACAGTGAAAAAAAAAAAAAAAAAGATACTGTCCTACTAGAAACGACCTTAAAATGTGTATATAATTGGATAAAACATGCTTTTCTGAAAAATGGTTGTCACTATTTGTTCTCTAGTCTGCCAATTTTTTTAAATACTAGTTAAATTATTGTTTCTTCAAAAAGATTCTTGTTCTCCCCATCATCCTTCTCAAAGCATATGTTACTTCCTTGTCACTGAGGCTGTAGATTGGAGGATTCATCAGAGAAACCATAACTCAATAAGGTATGGAAGCCACTTTGTCTTGGCACCAGTACTTAGGTTTGAGACACAAGACTGCATCAACTCCCTAGAAGACGGTGATGACAGTAAGGTGACACATGCCTTGGTACCTACCCATGGCAGAGCAGATCCTCAAGATGGCAGTCAAAATGCACCTATAGGAAGTGAGGGTGATGAAGCTAGCGAGGATTATATTAAAGCCAACAGACACAAAAATGTAGTTGATACTCATTTCAGAATGAAAGACAGCTAGTTCTGGCTGCATTTCACATCAGAAGCGATCAATGATCTTGTGACCACAGTGTGGTGATGCACCAGGCAATACATTTCTATTAAAAATCCAGGGCTTTGGGATTCATTCCCTGAGGATCTTTTCTTCTCAAATGTAGACAAACGAAACAACCATAACAAATGAGGACATGAGCTCAAGTATTTTGAACCCTTATGTATTCTATGACCAAGCCTCCCTAGAGAGCTGCATGTCTCATTATGTGATAGACACTTATTTGTCTGCACACTTGAATTAATTGGTTCCACGTTAAGACTGTAAGTATCTATTCATTTCTCAATTATTCTATAAATGAGTGACTACATTTTCACTCTCTATTTTTATTATGATCACCAAAAACATCTTCATCATCATCATTATCCTCAAGATATTTCAAAACCATTTAACTAAGAGCGTAAGAACAAACATACTAGGCCAGACTACAGGTCCTCCTAGCTCAAATTCCTGCTTCTGGCAAGGATGAAAGGCAGAGATCTTCAGGGAACCATGTAAGGATTAAAATATGTATGGTTTGGTACCCATATGTCCTCCCAGACTTGGATATCAAGAGATGATGTATAAATATTTAGCAAAATATCTTTGTATTTCTCTTCCACGGACTTGCCTTGACATTCTTCAACCACAAAGATGGTAGACGCAAAGTGTTTGTATATACAAACTCTCACAACTCAATAAACAACTTATAACTCAAAGTTATATATTAATCACAAATAGACATCAAAATCCCACCCTGATCTGTTTTTCTACTAGGACGTAGGAAAATATCAGTAGCCTGAGTGGGTTTCTAACTTATAAGGATGGTCCTAAAGCTGGAAGTAGTTTATTTTTTGTTTTTGCTCCTCAGATCGAACACTACTGTTAAATTTTATCAAACCAATCCACATTTATCTAAGATATAGAATAAATCTTGATTTCACTGAATCTAGCTGATTGGTGGAATCCGTCCACTAAGATTATTGAGAAATAGCTTCTTACCATCTTTGGTTCTCTAGACCCTGATGCCACAAATGCACTCCCTGATCCATGGAGATAGAAACATAGTTTGCCCAAAGCAAAACATTGCAATGTACAACATCTGCTATCGATTGTGGGATTGCTCTTTCTCACACAGTCATACTGTCCTAAAGGGGAACATGCTCATCTATGTGCCTTTTTAATCAAAGGAGAAAAGATATTCATTCCCCAGCTTATGTGCCTACTTTTCCTGCCAGCTAGAAGGAATTCAGAATTATCAACTTTAATGTGGATGTCCAGAATGGGATTCACTTCACCTCATTTTAGAGGTGGGATTCAGCTCATATTAAGTTGTGAATTTAGGTGTCTATACTTACCTATCTGTGATCTAAGCTTTCATTATATATAATTAATGGGATGCAAGTTAATAAAGTCAACAGTGTTTACTCGTCTGTTCAGCTGACAGAAAAATTTAGGTGTCTACCTTACAAAGAACCACGATGTTCCCTAGACTCCACTGAAGGTCTTGACTAGATATTCCTTGACCATAAAGGAAGCTTAAATATTTCACCTATATGTAAAAGTGGCATGGTATTTGCTTAGAGTTAAGGAGCCAAGTCATTCCTCTAAAGATAGTTGATTCCAACTCTAATTGCTAAATATCTAGGCAAGGGAAGGTGAATCCTACCCCAGTGACAGCAGTGTTTGCTCAGAACTATATTTAAAATAGATTTAGCTAGGATTTAGGCAGCTCTGCCTAAAACAGCAAGCCTCTCCAGCTTCAGCTAAAATCCATGGTGTGCCCTCTACATAAGAGCCAGAGGATAATTTCAGATATGCGTTTCTAAACATATAGTAGCTACAGGGTTAAACCATTATTTTGATTGTCTTATTTCTGTTTTCTTAAGCAAATAAATTTCAACTAGAAACTCATTTCCAGCTAAGCAATTAGCATTTAGCATGACATTAAGACAGGGTAAACCAGGATGTGAAATACAGAGTCTGTATTTAATATTTGAGAGTCCTCTCAAATATTAAAGAATTAGGACTAAGTAGTATTTTGTAGCTCTTTTCAGAAACAAAGACAGCATAATACCTTATTCTTTTGGACTTAATACAAATAGAAAGTGTATTATGTGTTACATATTACAAATAAGAATAACTCTGGGGGCAAGATTCTCTTGTGGGTATCCTTGGATATCAATATTAGAGCCCTTAATGTTTATGTCTGCTTTAGTGCTACCCAGTGTAAGAGAGATGTCAACATACTGGAGAAGTTCAGTGGTGACTACCAGAGTGGTCAGGAGGTTGGAGCACATGATGTACAAGGAGAGGTCAAAAGAACTGGGTTTGCTGTGCCTGGAAAAGCAAGGGCAAGAAGGAAATCTTATTGCTGTCTCCTACTCCCACATTCAAAAGTGTGGAGAAGGAGGAGCCAGGCTTTTCTCAGGGGTTCACAGGGATAGGAAAAGAGGTGATGAACTGAATTTGCAATTTGGGACATTCAGATTAGTTATGTGAAGTGGGGGGTAAAATAAAACATGGTGAGGCTGCGCAGACACTGGAGCAGGGGTTCAGGGTGGGAGGTTGTATTAGAGAGGTCCATCGATCCCTTCCTCCTTCCCTGACAAGGTGGCCTGGATAGCAGTAGCTGATAAAAGAGGAATGTGTGTGTAAATAGCCTGCGAGTGAAACACCCAGTGCTGTCTGAGAGGGAGCTTGCCTGGACTGATAACATTAGAGAGGAAGATGACCATCATCTGGATTAAACAGTAACCAGGGAGTTAACAAGACATTTTGGAAACAAAGAAGGATTCAGCTTTGCTGCGCTGCAGTTACACCCCTCAATGACCTTACAAACCTTTCAGGAAATGAAATTTTATTCAGTAGAATAAGAGTAAAGATATTGAATACTACCGATAGTGGAGTAGTAGTGTTAATAATACAGTAGTATTCAGTAGAATAATAGAAGAGACTGTCCACAATCTGCAATCTGACTTTTTAGGTGACAGAAGACTACACACCACAGATATGCTGTGGTGCCTGAAGTAGCAGTGAAGTGGCACATGTCATAGCTCACAGTCCAACCCACTATAGAAATTTTGAAAATATTCTCCTCTATTAAATTTTATGTAGGAAAGGTTCTGTCCTGATACAAAAGAGAAATAAATGCAAGAAAAAAATGCAAGACAATGAAGATCACATGCTTATAAGTCCTATGCCTATGCCTTTATTAGTTAAAATTAACTACTGAAAACAGTTATCAGCAATTAAAGAACTGAGTTAAATCAGTTTAATCAATTAACTGACTTAGTCCTGAACCAGTTGAGAACAGTGAATCATCCAAAGCATCATGTAAGTCAAAGTGAAGAAAATTCAAAAAATATTGTAGATCTGAGTTATTTCATCAAAAAATGAACTTTTCACCTTCATT